AGCTGAAGTTCGAAGTACCTAAGTTCGAACTTACCTTGGTCCACACTCGGCAGGCAGGCTCCCCCGTCGACTCCGCGGTACTCCTCTTGCCGAGCTGGAGTACCGCAGTCGACGGCGAGCACTTCCGGGTTCGACTTATCGCGTCCAGACTAGATGCGATAAGTCGAACCCAGAAGTTCGATCGCTCGCCACCGAACTACCGGGTAAGTGTAGCCAAGGCCTCAGTCTTCTCTTTTCCAGACTAAACAAACCCAGTTTTTTCAATCTTCCCTCATAGGTCATGTTTTCTAGATCTTTAATTATTTTTGTTGCTCTTCTCTGCACTCTTTCCAATTTGTCCACATATTTCCTGAAATGTGGTGCCCAGAACTGGACACAATACTCCAGTTGAGGCCAAATCAGCACAGAGTAGCACGGATGAATTACTTCTCTTGTCTTGTTTACAACACTCTTGCTGATACACCCAGAATGATGTAGCTGTTTTTGCAACAAGGTTACACTGTTGACTCATATTTAGCTTGTGGTCCACTATGACCCCCAGATCCCTTTCCGCAGTACTCCTTTCTAGGCAGTCATTTCCCATTTTGGATGTATGTAACTGATTGTTCCTTCCTAAATGGAGTACTTTGCATTTGTCCTTATTGAATTTCATCCTATTTACTTTAGACTATTTCTCCAGTTTGTGCAGATCTCTTTGAATTTTAATCCTATCCTCCAAAGCACTTGCATCCCCTCCCAGCTTGGTATCGTCCACAGACTTTGTAAGTGTACTCTCTATGCTATTATTTAAATCATTGTTGAAGATATTGAACAGAACCGGACCCAGAACTGATCCCTGCGAGACCCCACTCATTATGTCCTTCCAGCATGATAGTGAACCACTGATAACTACTCTCTGAGAATGGTTTTCCAACCAGTTTTACACCCACCTTATAGTAGCTCATCTGGGTTGCATTTCTCTGGTTTGTTTATGAGAAGGTCATGCGAGACAGTATCAAAAGCTTTACTAAAGTCAAGATATACCCCGTCTGTCGCTTCCCCCCATCCACAAGGCTTGTTACCCTGTCAAAGAAAGCTATTAGGTTGGTTTGGCACAATTTGTTCTTGACAAATACATGCTGAATGTTACTTATCACCTTATTATCTTCTAGATGTTTGCAAATTGATTGGTTAATTATTTGCTCCATTATCTTTCCGGGTACAGAAGTTAAGCTGACTAGTCTGTAATTCCGTGGGATGTCCTTATTTCCCTTTTTATATTGTCTGTTATTTAATATAAAAGTATTGTATTGTATGCTTGTACATTCAATGTAAGTTTTGTGACTTTCTTTCCTTAAGGGAAAAAATATGCAAGTTCTGGAGAAGAGGAGGATAAGGAAGATGATAAAGGTGGGATCACAAAACTTTTTCAAGCTCTGCTTGATTAAAGGAGCACTGCCAAGTCTATTCAGCTTATAATTAGGATCTGCTGGCTACGATTTGGTCTTGTGAGTGTGTGTACAATGACTCCACCTGTCTGCTCCCTTTGAGTGATCAGGCAGTGTCAATAAAACATACAAGAGCTCTGCTTTCTCAGTCCTTCAGAGGACAGGGTTCTTTCCTTTTCGATTTATTGTTTGCTCACGTTAGTGGCACATCTGGAAAGAGTGGAGAGGATAGTGGGATGTCTTTACAAAGGCACCCATGTTAGTCAAACGATTTAATCACACTGTTAAACAATAATAGGATACCGATTTAAATTCAGCATGTCCTCTGGAATGGTTGAAGCATGAAGGGGCATATGAATGTTAGCATATCTGGCACGTAAATACCTTGCAATGCCGGCTACAACAGTGCCATACAAACCTTTGTTCTCACTTTCAGGTGACATTGTAAATAAGAAATCGGCAGCATTCTCTCCCGTAAATATAAACAAACTTGTTTGTCTTAGTGATTGGCTGAACAAGAAGTAGGACTGAGTGGACTTGTAGGCTCTAAAGTTTTGTTTTTATGTGCAGTCATGTAAAAAAAATTCTACATTTGTAAGTTGCACTTTCATGATAAAGAGCTCGCACTACCATACTTGTATGAGGTGAATAGAAAAATACTATTTCTTTTATTTATCTTTTTTACAGTGCAAATATTTGTAATAAAAAATAATATAAAGTGAGCACTTTGTATTCTGTGTTGTAATTGAAATTAATATACTTGAAAATGTAGAAAAATATCCAAAATACTTATAATAAATTTAAATTAGTATTCTGTTATTGTTAAGAAGTGCAATTAAAACTGTGATTAATAGCAACTTTATCTAGTTAGTTTGTTTTGCATTAATTGCTTGAGTTAACAGCAATTAATTGACAGCCCTAGACACAAGGTATTATATACTTATCACTCCATAAATGTACACAGTACTGTAAAAGGCATAGAAAAAGCATAGTCCCTGCTCCAAAGAGCTTACAGTCTAATAGACAAGACGTGGAATGCAAATGAGACAAAACCTCTTAAATTGTACTTTTGTTACAGTCCTTATTTGTGGAATAGGCTAAGTTTCTATAACCAAAGTTAAAGGTGTATTCTGGTTAATTACCATTGGTTAAAGATAGATTCTGCTTACTTTTGCTCTCCCGTTGTCAAAAGGTATTCTCAAATTCAACTATCAGGGGGTAGCCGTGTTAGTCTGTATCTACAAAAACAACAAGGAGTCTGTGGCACCTTAATTCAACGAGATTCTTATTAACTTCTGGTCTTAAACTTTTTTATATTGCTGCTGTACACTTTCTAGCAGCTGCTGTTTCACCTCAGAAGTGACTGCTGTTCAGTGCTGCATGAAGTGAAGTGATTCCTGGTGAAGTGAAGTGTAGTTTGTATAATCAAGTATTTTGGGTTTCATTTAGATGAAAGGTGCTATATAAAAGTGAAATTGACATTGAGATCAGTAGGGAAAGTGAAAATGACATTCTTAAAGCAAGATGAAATTGGTCTTGTTACTCTTCAGTGTCCGTGTTACTCTGCATCAGAAAGAGGGCTTTTTGAGAGATAAATTTCTTGATTATGTTTTTCGTAACTCTAATCCCCTAATACTGTAATTGCCAATTTAGGTCTGTATTGTGCATTTTGATCTGTGTGGGCTGAGCCCCATTGAAGTCACTAGGGCTGTCTATGTGGCAATTCGCCTTCACAACTCTGTAGGTTACAAATGTATATAACCTACTTGTTGATGAGGTATATTATCATTGGAAAATGTGTTTATTTCATCATAACTGTTTGTTACAGGTGGAGCTTGCAGCGCCACCAACTGCCTTTTTGTTCTGTGTTTGTATGGCACCTAGCACAATGGGGTCCTTGTCCATGACGAGGGCTCCTCGGTGCAACAACAATACAAATAAGAAACATAATAATTAAGGTTGCCCGACACTTCCCATTGTAAGACCCTGTTTTCAGATGGTTATAGCTTTGCCAAACTTTAACCATTTGGGCTGAAACTTTCCATGTTGGGTATCTGCTTCAGGCTGAGTTATTTTTGGAAAGTTTTAGCTAAAATGGTGTAGCCATTTCTGAGAACAAGGCTATGGAAAAATACATTATTTTGCTATATTCTGTTTGTTACAACTGTTTTGCTGAGAAGTTTAGTGCCCTATAATTTAGAGCAGGGACTTGAAATCTGGCAGGGGGAATAGCCTTTGTGTCAGGGATGTGCCTTTTGCTGTTCCCATGAATGTGTGCCCAAATGCAGCCAAGTTATGAGCCATTGAAAAATCTCCTTGCATGTGCTCAGTAGACTTGTTGGAGCTTCTTACATAAATTCTGCAAAGATTCTGTGTGCATTGAGCATGTTCCAGCCCAGGGCTCCCTACAATTGCTGCACCTGGCTGCTGCAGGCTGGGGTGGGATCAGGCACTGGATCTGAGAGCAGGAGATGGCCTGATCTATGCTCAATGATACCCCATTGGCGCTCAGGCAGCATGGAGAAGGAAAGTGTCTGACTGAATTAGAGGAGGCAATAGCCAGACCAGAGTGGTGGCGGGGAGTGGATTGGGACAAGGAGTCTTGGGGGTGGGGGTAGAGAAACTAAGACTTGGAGTTGTCAGGGTAAGGAGACTGTGACTGGTTGGGCAAGGAGACTTGGAGATGTGGGAGGAGACTGGACATGGATTTGGGAGCAGGGAGACTTGGAGTGGGGAAGAACCATGGGAGGGGAGACGCATTTGATGGGGAGCTGGGTGCAGGGCGAGAACTGGACTGACTGGGCAAAAAGATTGGAACAAGGAGATGGAAAAGAGATGGAGATTGGATGAGGAACCAGGAGGGGGAGACTGAGAGCCATGGGGGAAATTGAGATGGGGAGGGACAAGTGGAGGTTGAGGCAGTGAAACAGATTGGGTGAGGAGCCAGGAGTGGGGAACTGGGACTGGATGGGAAAGAAGGCTGGGGGTGGGAGTGAGGGAGAGACGGACTCAGAGCCCTGAGGAGGAGATTAGGACTGTCTGGGCAAGGAGATTCAGACAGGGATGTGGAGTATGGGACTATCCTGAGGAGCCAGGGGTGGGGAAGAAACAGGACTGGAACAGGGGCAGATTAGAGGGGACTTGGCAGAATAGGTCAAAAGCTTCGGGGACACAGGAAGAAGGGTCCCACTAGAGAACACTCCCCATAGAATCTGGAATAAACCAAGAATTCCTAAGTTTTGCCATTCCTCTGCTGTCAGCAAATATCTGTGAAACCCTCTGGCAAAGTGTCTCATCACTCTCTATTGCTGGTCCGCATAGACTCTGACAACCTTACTGCTGTCACTCACCCCATTAGCTCAAGTGATCGTATCCTACTTTTTTCCACCTATGAAAATTTTGGTTAAATGACTTGCCCAGCATCACATAGGAACTCTGTGCTAGAGGCAGGGATAGAATCCAGTTCTCCAGGGTAGCATTCAACTGCTTTAACCCTGAGACAATCCTTTCTCTTCCTGCAATTCCCTGCCTCGTTCACTCACCCCTTCCAGTTTCGGCAATAAATGAGGCAGGGGTCCAACAGACAAACTTCTTTGCTACACAACTCTGATTTGTCCCAGAGCGGGTCCATCCTGTGCACTGAATGGGGCAGGGGTCCTGTGGGGAAAAATAGTGTGGGATTATGTGGCAGAATTCAATTATTATATAAATTCAACGAATAATATAGAAGTTTATTTGTAAGCCCTTTTTTCTTTTTCTCAATTTAAATGTTCACATTTGAGGGAAATTATGGGATGAGGGTATGACAATTATTTAAGGAGAGTAGACATTGAGATTCAAAAAGTTAAATCATTATTACCGTTAAAACACAAATTGTCAACATCACATTTCAAAATATAGACAGTAAATATCCTTAAATCAAACTCTTAAGTTCTCAAGCAGCATTTTTCTTGCTTAGCCTGTCTGTAAATTTTGTTTAATATTGATAGGAATATTTTTTTGTTGCTTTGTGTGTGTACAGTGAAATCGATGTTTACCGATTAAAAATCTAATCCTTCCAAGCCAAATCATAACGCATACACAGAAGGCGGGAGGGTGAATCATGTTTGCCCTGGCCCTCTGAATTCTGTCATTTCCTAACTTTTGAGTGCTTCACTTTGCAACCTTAACATTCTTTTAATGGTGGCTTTTGTGTGTAATTTTCTAGGTTTAAAAAAAAAAATCCATCATGTGCAATCATACTGACATCAACATATGCCATCAGCAGGTTGGAATCTTAGATCTGGTGCACTGGAAAGGGATGGGACAGTTTGCTAGTGGGTTTCACAGTTATTTGCTGACAGCAGAGAAACAGAAGTATTTGGTTGTATTCTGGATTCTAAAGGTCGCACACCCTTCTGCCTCTTTCCCCAAGCTTTTGATCCTTTCTGCCTGATTCCCTATAACATGTCTTTGACTTAGTGCTGTTTTTCCTCACCCTGGCTCCTCATCCCAGACTGTCCCCATGCCCACTCAGTCCTAATCTCCTTTTCATGGCTTCCCATCCTAGCCTCAGTTTCTTCTTCCCACTCCCCCCCTCCCAACTCCTTGTCACCAGTCTCCTTGCCCAACCAGTCCCATTCCCTCCCCTGGCTCCTCACCCAATCTGGCTCCCCTTTCCTCCAGTCATGTCCCCTACTCCCTTTCACCCCCACTGACTCCCAGTCTAAGGCCATGGCTCCTCTACAAACTTGTGCTAGCATAGCTCCATCATCAGGGTGTGAAGAGGTGCTGGAAAAAGCCCCTAGTGTAGAGGAAGTTATAGTGGCAGAAGCACAATTTTGCTATTCTATCTGCATCCACACTAGAAGCACTTTGCTGGTATGGTATACCAACAGAGCCTTCCAAGTATAGATCTGACCACAACCTCTCTCCCTTGGCTCCTCATCCAACCTTAGTATTCCTCCGTCCCTTCCCCAACTGCTTGCCCCAGTTTCTTTGTCCAGTCAGTCTCACTTCTCCTCTCCCTCTCCCCCCCTCCCCCCAGTGCATCAGATCTGTCACAGGGGGACTAAATTCACATTGCACAGGCAAGCTTAAATCTGGCATTTCCTAACTTTTCGGTGCTTGACTTCGCAAACTTTACATTTTTACATATTTTTTGTGTAACTTTAAATCAGTTGTCTAGCCACTGAATGGTCTTATTTTCCTCCCTGATGCATGTGTCCAAATGCTCATTAACATCAATAAGAGTTACACTGTGATGGAAGATTAGACCCTTAATGTAGGTCCTTCATAAGCAAAGTTTCACCTATGTGCTATGCTAGGAATATCAGACTTGTGCAACTGTATACATGCTTTTTGCATATAGCTGTGTCCTAAGCAGTATCCCTTTCAAATATTTGCTGCTTGTTGAATAAAACCAAGGCCTGGAGTTGGAGTAAAGCTTT